ATTTTTTTTTTTTAAAGTTTTTATTTATTTATTTTTTATCAAAGGAAATGGTGGATTTGTCAAGTCAAAACACATTTACGTATTTCTATTTTACAAAATGTGACCCTGGAGCACAAAAGCAATCTTAAGTCGCTGGGGTATATTTGTAGCAATAGCCAAAAATACATTGTATGGGTCAAAATTATCGACTTTTCTTTTATGCCAAAAATCATTAGGATATTAAGTAAATATATTTTGTTAATTTCCTACCGTAAATATATCAAATCTTAATTTTTGATTAGTAATATGCATTGCTAAGAACTTCATTTGCACAACTTTAAAGGCGATTTTCCCAATATTTTGATTTTTTTTGCACCCTCAGATTCCAGATTTTCAAATAGTTGTATCTCGGCCAAATATTGTCCTATCCTAACAAACAATACATCAATTTTGAAAAATTGACACTTAAGACTGGTTTTGTTGTCCAGGGTCACATATAGCAAATCTCAACTGCTTGATTGTTTATATTGTTGCAAAATGTAGTCCAGCACCGATCTGTTAAATGCGACTATAAGGCATGAAGACATTAAGATTAATAAACATTAACATCATGATTTTCTGTAATGCTGCTTTAAAACAATGTGTATTGTGAAAAGTGCTATATAAATAATTATGACTTGACATAGTACTCATACTATTTTTTTTACAGTATTTTTTAAATTATGCGCATAATGCAAATTTTCTCTAAAATTAAAAAATCTATACAATTATAGAAACAAAAATAGTACTATAAAACGGTTTTATGTTTACTGTTATGTATACCAACACACTGATTAAAAAGTCCTATCCAGTATACACTGCACAGTACGTAGTACACAAGTATTTCAATGTATTTCAATGTGACTGACGGGGACGGAGACTCACGTGGGTCATGCTAGTGGCCTCAAACCAGCGCAGGATTCCTGGTAGTTTGTAAGCGGTTATGAATGTGGTGCGCTCAATCCACATGGACTGAAGAGAGAGAAAAGAGTGAGAAGACAGTCAACTCATGACATTAAGGAGAACAGTGTCTGTTAATGAGTGAGTTTGTGTGTGTCATTGTTTTAATGCATTTAGAAAGGCAAAAGCTCTTCAACCTGACCAGAAAACATTGATGTCCATGAGCTCAGTGTTGTTGTGACTTTTTTTTGGGGGGGGGGGG